ATACACCCTTAATTATACGGGCTCACAATTACAAAAAGTCTGACATACATATGGTATGAAATGCACACAAACACACACAAACTCACACACACATACGCACACAAATTCACACACATACATGCACATACACACATACACACACACACACACACATACACACACACACACACACACACACACACACACACACACAAACATACACACACACAGTATAGCATGTATGTCTTAACATACACACACAGTCTGACACCACCACACTATGATACTGATACACATCTCTCTTTAACACACAGCTCACACCTGTAACACAGCCCATCACTTTGACACACAGCTCATGTCTATGACACACTACACATTACTTTGACACAATGCTATTGCCTGGGACGCACTGTCCATCACTTTGACACACCAACAAGAGACAAGACCAGCGGTCAAGCTGAGAAATGTAACAGGACAGCACTGCCATTCAAATTAAAAACCTAGTACAAGTATATTGCAGAATCAAATTTTGTCTCAATTAAAGGGAAAATGTGCTTTAGTAATTAAAGTTTTAGTTCCTAACATCCAATTTTAACACTGTTTTATTAGTAGTTGAATGTTGAGACATTGGATCCAAATAAAGAGAGAAAAATGTGGACATTTTCACTTATTGAATCTTTCTTCAAAAAGTGAATTCTACCAAGAGACTCATAATTTATATACAAGGTTTCTCATTTCAAGGATGGCATAGCAGCAGCTGGATGTAGCAGGTGACACTGACTAGATCTATATATTAGGGGATGGTTTGGGGAGGGAGGGATGGGGTTGAGGGAGGGGTACACTCAGGTGGGGAGGCAAAGAGCAGGACTGTGCTATAAATAACTCTACAAAGTTTCAGAGATGAGGACACAGGAACTGTTTACAGACATGTAAAGCCAGGAAACGTCAATAATGACAAAAACTCATGCAGAGAATTGGCAGAATCTGATAAAAATAAACTTTATATACAAGTTCACAAAGTACTATTGCACAATGACCTGAAGAGATTAACCCCCTGAGGTCAAAGGTCGAGAGGACCTCGTTCATCACAAGGCTAACACAACCATGACAAACATGAATGAAGATATTTACAACAAATGGGCATTCCCCTTAGTGCCTGGGTCAAAGTTCATACAGGATTTCTAAGCTTCAAAAAAGTCTAATGAAAACCTGTAGAGGTCAGCAGAGAGACACTATAACAAGTTCTTAACTGTCTGGGATGTCCAATACAACTTAACAATGGCCACTCTTGTACAGGTGATCAGATTTGTGTGGTGTTACACACACACACACACACACACAC